TCCAAACGTTCAGTCTTTAGCTTCAAGTGCTTAGCCATATCGTTAAAATTAATGATATTTTCATTGTGGGTTAGGTTAACTTTCATATGCTCCCAGCTGGTTGGGAGCGATTTGATTACAGCACATACTTGTTAGTTATCAGACAAATCGTGCTTGCTTCTTTAAGCTCATGGATCATGTTGCCATCTCTCTAAAGTGCTGCCACATAGGAGTATTCGGCTTTAGTTTATAAATGTTGAACTTAATTGTAAGCCTTCTCAGTTTGGTGGTTGAGGTACCACCAAATTTTTCTTTTAAGGCAGCCCACATGGCCTGGGCAGTAGAGTTCTTCTCAAATTTGCACATCAGATCGTCCGCCATTGCACTTAGAAGTGTTATTCGTGTAATGCTATTTTTTTGTTTCAATGTCGCAAATGCCTCTTGGTCTCTCCTATGTTGAGCCAAGTTTCCTACCTCAGGCTCGACCATAATCATAGTCAGTGGCTCAACAGCATCTTGGTCTTCCAAAATACATAATACCTTATGGTGCCAGATATCTCAGTTATCCCCATTTAATTTTTCGCCCTTATTCAATTCAGCGATAATTTTTTTTGTTGCCATTCCTAGTTCTGAGACAAAACTATCCCACATTAATACTTTTCCATATTAAACCAAGAATAAAATACTTATGAAAAATATACAATGTCTTATATTTGTATTATTCTTTATTAGAATGATAACAACTCTATTAGGTCAACGATCAGGAGGTTACGTTTGTATCACCCATCACATTAATTCTAACAAAATCACTATTGTCTATAAAGAATTTTATAAATATTTTCATAATCATTATATATGACTCTTAAATGACTTATCACTTTAGAGCTCTCACTCAAACAAAGTATATATAAAGCAATAAAAAAAATAACATGCTTCATATATATCATTAATTATCGAGGTCTTAATATAACATAACTTAATACAACATAACTTAACTAAAAGTAAATTATTGAAAAATAAAAAAATGCTTAAGGTACAAATCTAAAAAGACAACTCTTAATTATGTCTTTATATTTTTCTTGAACTTTCATCCCTTTGATGGCTCTATTCTATAGAGGATTTCTCGAGTATGACTTGTTTCACTTGTTATGTTGCACAAGCTCTTTTCTAAGTTATTTGAAAATTTCTCCTACAACCACAGCTTGTTTTTCTTTTATTATGAAGCTTGAATATGCTCTTACTATTTGAGAAATTTGATCCAGCTTAATTCTTTGAGCTTCTCTTTTTGCTATATTTACGATCACTGAGGGTGTGAAAGGTTGTTCCATATCATCATCTTCCTCTTGAAGATTCTCATCATGCTTTAATTCATATTTTGGTCCCAGCAGTATGCATACCTCTTTAGGTCCTTTCGGCACATTTTCGAGATCAACATTGGGATCTTCTTGAGGATCAGAATCAAAATCCTTACTTTGAGGTTCATATTTCTCTTCCTCTTTGAAGGGTTTTGGGCTGGAATCCTCACTAAGAGGCTCATAATCTAATCCATCCAGATACTCAATGCTAATAGAATAATTTTCTGAGTTATTAGTACTGTTAAAAGCCTCTTGCTTCATATTTGTCTAAAAATAAAAGAGAAAAAATTTAGAAATTTTTTTTAAACTCAAAATGAACTAGATAACTCAAAAAATAAATTCTTGTTTTGTCTTTAAAATATGTAAATTATTTATCAAAATGAAGATCTCAAATTTAGAAATTTTTTAAGACAAATTGTGTCCCAATTTAGTCCTGCACGTGTCCCAAGAACGATTTTAGATTAAGAAATTTTGGAAAAAATTTAAAAAAAGAATATTTCACTCTCGAAGGAGGCATGTGCACACCACACGCCGCCTTCTCATCCGCTGATGGTGACACTCATCATTCCGTTGTGCTCCACGCGCTGACAGCTTTTGGGTAAGGTTAACCACGGGCTAATAGAGTCTCCCATTAGGTCTCACGCACTACGTGTCCAAATATATATATTTTAATTAATTATTTATTTATTATTTAATTTTTTTTATTTGGGTCGGGTTTTTGTACCCAACTCGTGGCCTATTACCCAAATGGCAATTTTTTTGGATTTGGGCTTTAGAGCCCAAAACATTTTTTTTTGTTCAAGGCTTATGGGCTTGCTAGCCCAAAAGCAAAACTTTTTTTTTAATTGAATGACATGTCAAAATGATGTGTCGTTTTGACAATGACAGAAATGACACATTGTTTCTATTGTTATCTTCTTCCAACCGAGTCAACTTGACTTGGTTCCTCCGGCTGGTCGGGTCTATTGGACCTGAAACTTTTGGAGGCCATATCTCCTTCGTTCGGTCTTCGTTTTATGCATTCTTGGTGTTGTTTTCTTTATTTTTTCAAGCTCTATACATTTATGCAATCCTTTTGTCCAAAAAACTTAGTTTTCAAACACCCATTATTTGGTTTGTTTTTGGTTGTAACGTTCATCACTGTTAATCGCATGCAGAACGTGTATAGCCTTATATGGAACACTTACATCAACTAAGAAGCATATAAATATGTTCATTTTGGTGAGGATAATCATAAAGACTAACAGAGGCAGATTATGCGAAAAGCACAGGAAGAAAAAAAAATTGAAAGATTTGCATGTATATGGCTAAGCAAATCATTATATGTTCTTCAAATACAGGAAACGCAACTCAGAAAAATTAATTGCTCTGATACCAATATAAGAATTTGAGGAGGAAAGCATACCTGTTGTGTCGACCAAATGCTATACCATATGTAGGAACGAAGTTACAGATCAGACTCGGTTTGTGACTCACGGCAAATACACATAGAGAGGATGAGAAGCCAGGAAAAATTGAGAAAGTTCTATTTGTTAACTCAGAGCCAAGAGAACTGCACCCATAACCGAAGATATACGGGAACATGTAGATTCGGTTTCTCAACCATTCCCCCTCAAAATTCAAAGGTTGAAAAAAAAAATACATTTAAAGCCCTGAGTAAATTACACATTGAACTCAAGCATTTCTCATAATTATGACAAGAACCTTATTCCTCAATTTGGACTTTTATATGGGCCTGATCCACTAAGGTGGATAACCCAACACTTGGCATTTTGCCAAATGCAATTTTTTCATAGGTCACTAAAATGTGAAAACAAGATAATAAACTAGTCACTAAAAGCCTGCAGAAAAAGCACAGAAGAAATGAAGACTAAAAAATAATAGAGAAAAGTTCTAAAATGAAAAAAATGAAGCCAAAATTCTTAATGTTCCCCAGATATGCGATGGTTTTGCTATCTCCTTTGGGAAATGAATCCTTTCATTTTTATGCAGGAAAAGCACTCTCATTTTTAATGCGTGCGTTTTGTTAGTGTGCTGTGCGTTTTTCCTGGTGATCAGGTGGCTGCATATTCTCTGTTCCCTTTCAATGACTCCACTGCATATTCTCATCTCTGCAGTTGCTGCTATGTATACTTGTTCTCAAATCTCTTGAAAAAAAATTGTTTTATTTCTTTTCTTAAAAAAATTGTCAATTATATGTCATATATTTAGTTTACTAGTTCTCTCTGAGTGTTTAGTTTTTTTTTTTTTTACTTTGAGATCCTTCGAATTGCAATTGTGGTGTGGGTCAACTCAATTATCAAATCATTCAATAAGTGAAATTATTTAATATATTTTTTTAAAAAAATGTTGTTCATTAGATTTGATTTATTGAAATTTTCTCCACAAATAATAAATAGGGTAATATCACTTGGACAGGGCTATATGTAGGTGCCCAACCCGAAATGTTAGGGCTTTTCACTAGCAACGCTGGGAATGGGCTACAAAATGCAGCCCATCCATGTTTCAAGCTAGGTATTGAGCAGGGATCTAACCTTGTCCATGTAAAAGCCTTACTTATAAGTAATTAAAAAAGACTCTTGAATGAAAAATTTTATTTATATTCTTCAACATGCACAAGAATAATAATTTTTAAAATAAAACAAGTTATTTGTATTTTCAATATATGCATTCTTGTAAAAATATTTTTATTTTTGTTTTGATGGTTATTGTTTCTTATAATCAATGAACAAAAATAAATACTTATTTATGCTTTCATTGTTATCATTATATATCTGTAATTACTCATACAATTTTATTTTAAAATGTTTTCTAGATTATTTTAAAATGCTTTGGAAGTTATATTTTTTAAGAAATCAAATCAAAATATAAAATAAAATAACATATTTTTATTATGAATAACAATTATAAATAATTGAAATCTAAAGTAATCAAATTATATACACAAAAAAGTTTAGATTTATTAAACAATCATTCAATTTGATTGTATTCAATATTATTGATGTTTTGTTTATAAGATGCATATAGATATTATGAGACATTATTTTGGCCGCAGAGATCATTTGAGACTTCAAAATAAATAAAATAACCTAAATTTCAGTTCAAAATTACAAGGTTAGCGCCAAAAACCCACAATTAGAATTATTGTTGATATAGCAAACAGTTTGAGATATTGAAATCCATTCATTGTATATTTGGTTATAAAATGTTAAAAAGACAACACCTCAGAAATAGATGGCTGCTGGGATTGGAGAAAGAACACAAACACAAGGGAGTGTCGGCTAACATGGAAGGGAACCACAGGGATGCCTGTAAGGGACGACACTACATCAGCAAACATGACAATGGGCTGCTTGGTTTCTATTTTTAAAAACTACTTTATTATTAAAAAACTTGTTTAGATAAAAGTTTTTTATTTACCTGTTTTCAAAACTGTTTTCTTTAAAAAAATATAAATATCTTAATGTTTTCTTTAAAAAAAAACACACTACATTTGATTATCAAAAAATATATTTAATTTGAATAATTGTTATCATAAATCATCACTACTAACCACCTGCCACCATTAGTATCAATATATTTTTTCAATTTTAAAGTTTCTAAATTAACATAATCAAATGGATTTTTGTTTCGAAAACTATTGCAAAACAGTATTTAAAAACAAAATTTGAGAAAAGAAACCAAACAGGCCAAACATGCCTGCTTCTTGCTGCAACAAATGCAACCCAGAAGCCAGAAGAGCATTTGGTCCCTCGCCCATATTAGCATGGCCTAATGACTTCAACAGCTAAACCAAAGGCGATCCAGGCTGCATGCAGTAATACAAAATCACATAGATGCTACACAGTAGGGTGTTCAACTTTGTGGATTGAAGAACAATGGAAAGGAAAGCTTAATTTGGACGTTTCCCTTGAGTCAAATCAAGCCTCTCCTTTTCTTCTCCATTCTCCTAAATTCAAACATGAAATTATAGTGAACATACATTCAAGCAACAGGCCAGAATAGAAACCATTAGCTCTTCCTAATTCCTCATAGACTGCCCGGGTGGTTGCACCGTAGCGATTAATTGGGCCAACACTGTCGCATACTGAACAGCTGTATGTTGCGAGGTGTAGTAATCCAAGAGCCCATATTCTGCATAATTTGGTTCCATATGCATGAATTGACCTGGTAATGATTTTTTTGACACTGCTTCTCGCCATATATTAAGGAATTCTTCCATAACTTGCCTAGATTTCTCGATGGAAGAAATCGGGAGATACTCGACCTGCAGAGAACTTCAAATGGATTTATTAACTACTGAAGCACTGCTAACTGCTACCAACACATCAAATATAGAACAAATATAAAAACTAACGAAACAAAACTATGATTACCAAAAAAATTCTCAATGATTCTAAGAGCATGCTAGATTATAAGACAAATTATAGATATTCCATTTTTCCACCCTGCAGCAAGAAGAAATGCCCTATTCACAACACCTTTTTATGGTCACTAGTCCACTAAAAATTAGAGATTTCCAAGAGCACATTCTCAGTCAAAAAGGTTGTGATTACACAGAAACATGAAAAACAATCCCAATGATATTTATTATACAGGAGCATCCATGTTATGACTATGACTACTTCTACTCGATTCAAAACCACAACCACAATCAACTTTATATATTAATCGTAGCATGTGATGCAACAGACTTATCTAAAAGCAAAAGCAAACTATTCCAATCTTCTACCAAATCATACATGCAAGAAGCTGCTAGACAAACAACCATCATTGTCAGTTCTCAGTTACCAGTTCTCGTTACAGAATAATGGCAAAAATCAAGTAGTGGAAGCAGTGCATCAATTCTTTGTCATTGTTTCCAATATTTTCAAGTAGTATTAGTCAGATCAAAGTATAGAGATCATAAATAAACCTCACAATTCTTTTCTTTTTGCCCAAAAGAATAAAAGTAGAAGAGGAAAAAGAGAGAAATGTTCTTCTTTGGAAAGTAAAACCAATGACGCATTTAATTCAGAATTGAGGAAAGCTAGAAGCTGAGCAGAGAGAGAGAGAAGGAGGAAACGAATTCTGCATGAAATGCATGCTTCTGTTAATTTTGTCATTGTCAAAACAATGCAATGCAATATATAGAGCACGGCGTAGTGATAGAATGCCGGCCAGACTACAGCCCATCTAGCAACTTCTCCTAACAAGTCAACTTATACAGCTTTTAACAAAAGCTACTATCAAGCACGTATCAACCTCATGTGTAGATACAAACAGGAATAGAACAAGAGAAAGATGTTTGATTAAGATTTATGTTTTCGATAAGAGTCAATCACCTCCATCACAATTCCTCTGAGACTTTCAGAAGCACTGGGGGCAACTTTTCCAACTCTCAGCTGGAAGTCACCCAATTTATACAGCACTCCCTGCAAACATTAGCATAAACCAAAAAAACAATTCAGCACAAACAAGCATAATAACCACCATGATCATAAGTATAAAAGAGAAAATGCCCGTCAACCAACTATATTTATAGCAGCATGCCAGCTTTCAAGACAGGAAAACCATCACATTTGCAGAAGTACCTCGAAAGTGAGTGCCACTTTGGACTTGTACGATTGCAGCTTCTCCATTATGGTCAGAATTGAAGAATCTGCTTCAAGAACAATCCTCTGGCCGCGAATTATGAAGTAGTATTTGTGAGGTTGCTCCAGCAGCGATATCCCCATAAAATCACGCGGAAATTCGGCTTGCAGTGACGGCTCTGAGTGCAATAACAGCGTTCTTGAGAATCGAGATGACACGATTTCAGCGAAAAAGAGAGGGGGGTTTTTAAAGGATGAGCTTCAAACAAATCAACAACACCATCGGACAAGAACCTCGTAAATTGGGTCGATAGAATGTTAGAGTTGCTTTCCATCTTCCGTCTTTGACGCCATTGACGCTCTCAACGCACTGAGAAACTTCGTTAAGAATTTGGCTGTTCACCATGGTTCCTGCATTGGGTTGCCAGTGTAAAACCCTATCCAAACAAAAAAAACTGAAGATCAGAAATTTGACTGTTGGAAGAGTAAGCGGAAAAAAATCGAAGATAAATCAAGCCCTCGTTTGATTTTGTTAATACCATTTGACAGGCATCCTCCAGATTGAAGAAAGTAGCAAACTAGCACTTCCGCTCTGCAATTCCTTTTGCCGATGCAAGGCCTCGTCCCTTGCGAGGGTCCAGAAGGCGCCCACTGGCCTGCCCAGGCGATGAATTTGCCTGTGCACCATGTTACGTCGTCGTTTCAGGATTAACCGGCCCGCCCGACCTGAATTTTGCATTGCGGGCCCTGCTCTAGTTCGTCCCCCTCATTTTGAGCATATTATTTACAAAGTTAACTTTAATGTTTTTAAATATTAATATTTAATTATTTATTTCTTAAAAGTAAATTAAAATAATCTACCTATTACGTAAATGTATTTTAGAGATAAAATTTAATTTTAAAAAAAATTATATGCACAATTTATATTAGAGTTAATGAGCACTTTGAACTTTAAAGTATTACGCGAAAAACACTCTAAATCTATAACTTTTAAAATGTTTAAAATTGATCCTAAATTTTTAAATTTATAGCAAATTTAAATCCACTATTAACTCACCATTAATGTCATTATTGTTCATCAACTAGGGCCTTGTTAAAATGCTGATGTGGTGGTCCCTTGTTGATGTGTTATTTTTAATGAACACTACAGACCTTAAATTCTTACACGAGTAGTATTCTGGACTTTGAACTTTAAATTCAAAGCAAATTACTCCCATCATATATGTATAGAATACTAACTATTATGTAGATCAAATTAATCTCAGCATAGTCCGCCATGATGAATGCATCATTGGTTGAGGTGAACGATCTATAATTTTATAAAATGACTTTTCCCCTCTTATTTTGAATAATATTTGTTTATTTAATAATGAAAACTTAATCTTCCATTTGAAAATAAGTTTAAGCTTTTAATTAATCAGTTAATTTGGGTTTGAAATTCATTGATAAAATTGTTAGCTTTCATATTCATCATTTGTAAAATTCTCTTATACTTAATTCTCTTTTTAAATAAGATCATAAGTTTTCACCATTAAATAAATAAGCATTATTTAAAATAAAATTAAATTAGAGTTATAGAGTATACGAAAGCATGGTATAGCAATCTTTTGGAAAACATTGCAAAAAAAAAGGGACAAAAAATGTCATTCCATAAAATTATGGGTTGTTCGTCGTGGCCAATGATGCATCCACTGCAGTGGACCATGTTGAGGCTAGTTTAGTTTACATAATAGTTGATGTTTTGCACTTAAACAATAGGGGTAATTTGTTATTAATTTCAAAATTTAGAGTTTAGGATGCCATTCACATAGTAGTTTAGTGTTTGTAGTACTCATTAAAAATGACACGTCAGCAAAGAACTACCACATCATCATTTTGATCGGGCCTCACTTGATAAACAATAACGGCATCAATGGAAGGTTTAATTTGCTATGAATTTAAAACTTTAGAGTTTATTTTATACATTTTAAGAATTTAGAGTCCAAAATGCTCATTAACCCTTTATATTAGCCTAGTTAAACTAAAACAAATAAACAATACTCCCTCTAATCTTGTATACTCTCATTGCATCATAATACAAGTCATTGTGATGTAAAACAAGAAGAGAGAGGGGGAAGAGAGATAAAGAGAAAGGAAGAGGAGAGAGAAAGAAGAAGGGAGAAGGCCGAAACTCTTATATAATAATACTTAAAAACTGAATACAAATAAAAAACTTAGCTCTATTTATAGAGCTCTAAAAATAATAAATAATAAAAATTTAAATTCAAATCTTAATATATTGATATCTAAGATAACAATAAAATAAAATAATAAATCATAATTTTAATAAATAAATATCCTTATTTGAATATTTCTAATAAATAATTTTAATATCTTAAATAAATTATAATTATTTTAATTAACGATTATCCTATATTTCATTACATTGTTAACTAATTTATGTTTATAAAAAAATTGACTAAAATCTTAAATTTTTAAGATAATTTACATCTTTTTAATTATGCCTTTGAGTGTAATGAATATAACATTTAACTTATTTAAAAGACTCTTAAATATTATTCAATAAAGTTAGAATATAATTATATATATATATATATAACACATACATGATGTCCTATATTTTGAACTAAATAAAATAGTTGGACAATGACTTGTACTATGGTATGAAAGGAATATAAATTACCCTTTAGAGAGAATTATCATCCTTTTTACAGGTCACTTACATAAAAAATGAATCATTAATTACTTCCTCTTAATTTTACCACTTTACAATTTTTGATAACTAGAGTCTAGAGAGTACTATAAAGAGTTACATAAGAAAAAATATTTTTACAAATAATACATTTAATAAAGGTAAGTTGAGATTTTTGTGGATAACATCAATAATTGAATAACCCTCTTTAATTTTGATGAAATAGTTAAAAATAACTTATAAATAATATTATATCGAGTACAATCTTACTATTTTATATTGACAATAAAGTAACAAGCAAACCAAATCCTTTTAAATCCACGAGTTCATTTATTTTATGAAAAAATAGCAACCAAGCACTTCGATAGTAAATTAATATTTGAGGACCAATTAATTTTAAAATTACAATACAATTTCTTGATCCTTGATTGATATTAATTTATGAGGTCAAAAGACCAAATCACCCCTTAAGTAAAAAAATCACCTCCCCATCGCCAGAGCAACTTTACAAAACTGTTGTCAAATCCTTGCTGGCGGTGAGGTCACTAAAGCCCCTGCCAATAGCGAGGTCACTGGCGGCTAGCCATCGGAATGCCGGCACCAACGACATTTATTTCAATAAATATTTGGTTTATGTAATCAAGGGAGGGTTTGATCTATGATCCATTGGCCACATAAAAAGCTTGGTGGCCCTTTAATTATACATAGCAAATATATATATATATATATATATAAATAGTGAGTTAAGTTTCTAACCACTTTCATATTATAAGATAATTGTGTGTTCTTAATTCTTGAACTACACTTGTTATTTATTAATGTTACTTATTAATCTGATATGTACATAACAAATTGAGAGCTTTAAAGCTTTATACATTTTACTTGTTAAAAGTTTGAATGTGTTATTGTTAATAACTAATTGGTTGTTGTCAAAACCCAAACGAATATTTGTCAATGAAGGATTAAAACTTATACAATTAAACTCATTTTATCAGTTTTTTTAACTTATTAAAGCTAAAATGAACTATTATTAATTTAAAATAGGTTGTTAAAACTTGAATGGATACTTGTTAATGAAAGACTAATAAATAAGCCTATTTTGTCCATTTTTCTAACTTGTTAAGATCTAAATGGACTGTTGTCAATTTAAAATACGTTATTATTAAAATATGAATGGTGCTTCTTGAAGAAAGACTAACACGTATAATTATGTCTATCCTATATTTTTTTAGCTTGTTAAAGTTCAAATGAACTTTTATAGGATGGGTATAATTGTACGTGTTAGTATTTTACCAATAAGTATCCATTTGAGTTTTAACAACCAGCTATTATAAATTAACATCAATTCATTTTGGTTTTAATAAGTTAAGAAAACGGATACAATGGGCTTAGTTGGACATGTTAGTCTTTTATTAATAAGTATTCATTTGAGTTTTAATAATAAATAATTCTAAATTAATAAAGTGCATGCAGGCTTATCAAGTTAGAAAAAATGGATATGATGAGTAGAATTGTACGTGTTAGTCTTTCATCAACAAGTATTCATTCGAGTTTTAACAATAATTTATTTTAAATTGACAATAATTCATTTGGGTCTTAACAAATTAGGAAAATGGATATGATGAGCATAGTCGTACGTGTTAATCTTTCATCAACAAATAACCATTTAAATTTTAACAATAAATTATTTTAAATTAACAAACATTCCATTCGAGTTTTAGCAAGTTAGAAGACAGATAAGATGAGCCTAATTGTACAAATGCTACTCCTTCATCAACGAGTATACCTTTAAGCTTTTACAATATATTCAAAATTAATAATAATTTATTCAGATTTTAACAAGTTAGAAAAATTGATAGGATAAGTTTAAGTGTACGTATTAGTTCTTTTTCAATAAGTATCTGTTTGAATTTTGACAACAACTAATTAGTAATTAACAATAATATATTCAAACATTTAACAAATAAAATGTATGAAGCTTTAAAACTCTCAATTTGTAATTGTTTATGTTAAATTAATACGTAACATTATTAAATTAATAAGTACAGTTCATGAATTAACAACATACTATTATATTATAACATAAAAGTGGATAGAAGCTTGATTTACTACATTTATATATATATATATATATATATTAAACCCTCTCCTAGCAACCTAAATCCAATATTCCTTAAATAAAAATATTATTGGCATTGGAGCTCTTATAGCCGACCACCAGTGATCTTGTTAACAGCAGGGGCTTCGACAACCTCACTATCGGCAGGGGTTCGATGGCCAATGAGGATGGGGAGGTAGCTTTTTTTTAACTTTTAGAGGCAATTTGAAGTTTTGACCTCACAAATTAGTATTAGTTAAGGACCAAAGGACTGTATTGAAATTTTAAAATTAATTGATTCTTAACTAATATTAATTTGATACTAAGGTCTTTAATTGCTATTTTTCCTTATTTTAATGAATGATAATGAATTTTATTGAATAGGAACATATATAATGATCCTCCCAAGTATTTTTATGATATGATTTAGGAGAAAATGAAAATTAGGGACCTATAAAGAAAAATAATGCCAACTGCAAATTAAATTATTAAAATTTCAATAACAGATCATGATTCTTACTTACAATAAATTATTTTTTGTTGATTGACTTGAGATTTATATTGGACTTTAGTAAATTCTCTACTAATGCTATAAAAAATTCTAACAATCTTTTGTCAATTTTTCAAGTAACAAAAGAAAATCACAAATAATTAGTTTGTGATTTATAATTGACTTTTGTAAATTCTCAATTAAATTACAAACAATTTCAAATGTATTTATTAGATTTTTTAATTGACTATTCATATTTTTTTAATTGCAAGTTACGACCATGGTCTGTTATTAAGATTTCAATAATTTAAAGTTTATAATTGTCATTAATATTTTAATGGGTTCCCTCATCGTCATTTGCCCATAATTTAGGAAAAATTTCAATGAGAACCCTTGATCAAACTTAATTGCAGTTAAAGTTCTTAAAATTATAAAATTTTATTGCACATATAGGGGACTAAAATGACTTCATTGTTCCCGATGAAGCTAGGTGTATGAACAAATCTTGTGGAAAAATTAACAATTAATGTATAAAAAAAGAACAATTAATGTAAGCGAAATTTATGACTCTCATTAAAAGTATAACACTGTTATGAATATAAAACGAGGGAAGCTAAGGCATAAACAATTTGTATAGAAAAAATAAACAAATAATGTATGACAAATAAACAATTGACATAAGTGGAATGAGGGTTGCGAATTCTACCTACATCAATTATTCATTTTTTATACATTAATTATTAATTTTTTCATATGAGTTATTTATTCATCTAACTTCACTAAGGTCAATAAAATCACTTAAGTCAACTCTTTCTTTCATTTGTACATCTCACATGTGCAATAAAATTTTTAAATTTAAGCGGTTTTGACTGAAATTTAATTACTCACCGGTCCTCATTACAATTTTTCCTATCACGCCTCACCAAAACGAGTGTGACTGGAACGAAATACAAAGTAAACCTCACTTCATAAGCCCAATCAATTTATAATGTTTCTAGTTACATTAAAAACAAAAAAATAAAAACACTTCATTAGTATAATGACAACTAATGTGTATAAAATTCAATAGTAACTCCTCCAAGAGTTGCATTATTATTATTTTTAAAGTGAAAATGTTTACAGCAGTCAATCAACTTTAGTTGGAACAAGATATAAGAGTTCATCACTCAATCTTTAAATCATTCAAATCAAAGAAATGGGCACTTTGCTTACAATTTTATAATAATTTATTTTTACAACAAAATTATAAAATAAATTTACCATGAATACAACTCAAACGCAACAAGTATCACCACTATCAAACAAGGGATCCTCTTTCTAATGCAGATAAAGGAGGTCGTACGTTTTTATTATCCGAAACACAAGTAATTTAGTAATTACATAATAACAAGGTTCAATGTTAAAATATTTCAAATATAAGCAAATAAATAAATATTGAATCTTGTTTAATTTCCTTAAGATGGGAGCCACATCTTGATAATTTGAAATCTTTAAAATACTTAAAGATACATGTAAATTGATATGAATACATATTTATAGTATTGAAGATAGAAATCAGAACAAGATTTTAAAAAATATTTTTAATTCAATAATAAGAGTTTAATAAAAGCATCTTAAAAACCGGCTTCTTTAGAGAAAACCGACATACCAAGAGATATCTGTCATAAGCACAGCTAAAGCGGAAAAATCACCAACCCATGGCTAGAATTCTTTCCATTGTGTGTGTGTTACACACACAAGTGTTGGCTAGAAAATAACCTGAATTCTAGTCAACACCAATACACCATGGTCCTTTTTTCCCCTCTTTTTAATTTACAATTTTGGGGGGGGGGGTGGGAACACTTTTGAAACATATCCAAATTGTTTCAGTAAATAGAACTAATTTGTGATTTGAACAAGCATTCATTCCTGAAATATTTGTTTATTATCCCTTGTACACAGTCCGGTGATTGCATATCGGGTACAAATATAAGCATATCTCTTCTTTATATTATGTATACATTTCGAACTGCTTAAGGGAATGAGTATATTTCTCTAATAAATTCACATAATTAGTTGCAACTAGGAAAGGTAAAGGAAATCAGAAAAATAAACTCTACAACGAAGAGGAAGAGCTGCAATTTACGTCAAGGATAGCTCTCTCACCTAATGATGCTATAAAAGAAAATTAAGAGAGAAGAGGATGAAACTTTCACCAGCCGCATGAGCACAGTGGCAACACCAAGCTAGAGAGGAGTAGACTAATGGCGATACAGGGGAAGAGGAACAACCAACAAATCGAACTTCCTGCAGCGATGGAACAGCTCCGTGCATACCCTCTAGCATCATGCAAAAGGAATGGAGGAGAAAGATTTGCACCGAACTCGACACGGACAATGGAGGAAGCTGTCAGTGCCCAAAATGGAGAAGGAAGAAGAGGAAATCGCAACCTTGACGTTGATGGAGCCCCACCACAGCAGCGAACGGCAGCCCCACGATAATCGGCAACGGATGAACGAAAGGAGGAGGAGGAATGATGGACCAAAAACGAAGCTCTCTCCCTCTCTTTCTCTCTCTCACTCTCTGCGTGAATACTCCAGCCAAGAAATGAATGGGGAAGTAAAAGTATGGGACCTTGTGTTTCTTCTTCTTCTTCTTCTTGTTTTTTTTTTTTAAGAAACGAAAAAAAAAAAACACTAGAAGGGCATTATGATAGTATCTCCCAGGCTAAAGCAAAAACAAATTAAAAATATCTCTCTTTGTGTACCAAGAGGATTCAAAGTCAAAACCTTACAACTAAGTGGATTTAAATTTGATAACTTTATTTAGTATAAATATTAAGTGTTTGTATTATTTAAACTATTAAAATTTACATCAATAATTATAAATTTATACTTCACTTGAGATTTATAAATAAATAAGCTTATCTGAATTATTGATTTAAATTTTAACAGTTTAGATAATACAAGCACTCAATACTTATATTAAGTACAGCTACTGAATCCAAATTCCAAATAAGCACTTTCACTAAGTCATAATATAACTTGATAAGTTTACCTCAAACTATAAAAATATAATTAAAATATCTTGTCATAAATTATAATTTTTTCCCTTAAACTTCTAGGTCATTCAACATCTATTCCAAAACTTACAAAAATATATTTAAATTACCTTATCTTACATTTTATTTTTATCTTATCTTTTTTTAGTTCCTCAGATATTATATTCCCTATGATTTATCTAAGGAAAACATAATCACTGGTCAACATAGTTTTATTGAATTTTGCTTTTAATTTTTATAAGTTTTTTTAGTATTTTCAGTTTTTATAAGAATTAAAAACACTGAAACTATAGGAACCTATGTAATAAATGTCACCCAATTCTATCAAAACTAGAGGAATTAAAACCACTAAATTTTCTTTGATAAAAATATAAGAATTAATGATCATATTTCCTTTTTATTTAAATATATAAAAATTGAGTGGATTTAAATGTGAAAAACTGGAAAGCTTATGTTGGCTGAGGGAAGCAGTCAAGCTGTGTCCCTACTGACAGGTGAGGGTACCGTGGGAGGGGAAGTCCTTCAAATTACTTCTGATGCAAACCTCAAAATAATTGAGAAGTGATAACTAGTGAAAATAAAAGAAAATTATTTTGAGAAAAGTTCATTTAAGAATTAAGAACATGACTTATTCATAAATTAGACTCAATAAAATATAAAATCACACTACAAGACCAAAGGACTAAATTAAAATAATCTTTTAAATGAAATGACCAAAATGCGCTTTAATTAGACTTAACCATATAACTTGTTAGTTTTTTAATATAACTTATTAATTACTTAATTTTGTTAAATTTGTAACTCTTTCAATTGAATTATATCACTTATTAATTGTATAACTTTACTAGCTAATTGCTCAGTAAAACTTATTAATTACTTAATTTTACTTATTAAATTCATGACTCCCTCCCCTGAATAGGATTACTTGTTAATTGAGTAACTTTACTTATTAATTTCACAATAGTGCATATTAATTTCATAACTTGACTTGTTAATATCGTATAAAAAATTGAAGAACATTTTGGTCATTTCCTATAAAAAAAATTCAATGAAGTCTTTTGGTCCTTAGTATAGTTTCAAATTTTATTATATTTGATTTGTAAATAAGTCACATTTCTGATCCTTAAATGAAATTCTTTTAATTATTCTTTTTGGTAAAAAAAAATTAGTGGAGAATCTTGCATTATTCACCTATTGCACTATTTGATTATTTAACCTTAAAAAAATTAAAAGGTGAAGCACTAAGGAAAATTCTCACCCAATGACCTCAACCTCGCATCATTTATATTAGGGAACCATTTAAGTTCGTGTATGGTATTTTGATCAAGGTTATTAAAATCAGACTGGGAACCAGCCAGGTATCCGGTCCGAGGATAGACTGAGGGGAAGGGAGAATCGGACAGGAACCGCCTGAACTAGCTTTAAACCGGACTGAACTGGGAGAACCGACAGTTCAGGCGATCCAGTATTTATTTATTTTTCTCCTTCCCAGTTTCACAAAACGGCGTCATTTTGTCCTCAAAACGCCAGAAGCCTAGAACCTAAAATCGTTCGATCATGTCTTCTTCTTCTCCCTCGAGTTCTCTTAGCCGTCAGCCAGTCCGAGAAGAAATTCGAAGCTTGAACGCAAGCTACCGTGGAACCTTATTAGCCGATCTGTTGAAGAATCTTTCTGGCGAGCTTCCACAAAACAAGATCCGGTGAGCTGTCACAAAACCAGTCCAGCGAGCTTCCACAGAACTAGTCCGGCGAACCTCCCGAGCTCTTACCTAGTCATCTTGTTCACGTTCCTCCCTTTCCTTTGTTCGTCGCATTTTTGTTGGACTTCGGCTCATTCTCCAATCTCGGCTGACCTCTCATTTTGATATTTTCTAGTCTGGTCAAGTCCATTTCCAGCGTCTTCTACCATCTTAAATCTTCATTAACAGGTTAGAGCTCCTATTCTTGAAGTTCAATCAAATGATAGTTTAATAAATAATTGATTGTGAATCTGGACGTCTAGTGCTGATTGCTAATTTAATAATTTTGATTATATGTTGATTAAGCTTAGTTGTTTTTTATGGATTTGGAACCTCCCACTCTTGCCATCGAGCCCAATGTGCAAGTTAATAATCCTGATCCTACTCCTGTCGTTGACACTCCCTCTGGCTCAACTCCAAATATTAATAGTACCCTACAAATTGCTGTTAGTTCGAATAATAATGATGCCTTTAGGGTTCAAGTATCATCTACACTATCTCTTCGAGGGAAAAGTGATCCTGCATGGGAGCATTTTGCTTTTAAAAAAGAGGGGAGAACCTGTGTGTATACTTGCCTTCATTACTCGTCATCATTTAGAGGAGGTGGGATCAATAGGATGAAGCAACATCTCATAGGTGTTTCAGGAAATATAATTTCTTGCAAGAAGATTCCATATGATGTTCGCCATAGAATGGTTCAATCTTTAAAAGAAGTTTCATTGGTAAATAAGAGGAAGCTTGAAGATCCAAACATGCCTGAAGAGTTTATTGATAACTTAGAATGTGAAGTAATTGCTCCAAATCCAGAGCCAAGTAAGCAAGCTAAGAAGGCAGGTTCTACCAGTGTTATTGTTGTGAAAAAAAAGGAAAAACTAGCGGGGTTGACAATTATTTTACCCTAATGTCAACTTCTGGCTTCCAACCAGGGCTAAAGAGTGTATGGTTATCTAAAGAAGCTCAGTATAAAGCTAAATTAGCCATTGTAAAGTGGTTATATATGAATTGCATTCCATTTAATGCTGTAAGTTGTCCATATTTTTTGCCTGCTTTGGATGCAATTGCTGCAATTGGCCCAGGTTTTAAAGGTCTTTCATTTCAGGAGTTAAAGGTTAACTTGTTGACTGATTGTAGAAAAGAGTGTCAACTACTTATTGAAAGCCATCGAGCCACTTGGAAAGAAAGTGGCTGCACACTCATGGCTGATGGCTGGACTGACAAAAGGCAACGGACATTAATAAATTTTTTGTTTTATTCTCCTGTTAGCTTGGTTTTTGTAAAGCCTGTTGATACTTCACATATAGTCAAGGATGCCAAGAATTTATTTTCTTTATTTTGTAAAGTTATTGAGTGGGTCAGTCCTACAAATATAGTGCATGTCGTGACCGATAATGCAACTAATTATGTAGCTGCTGGCAAGTCGATTCGTGAAAAATATAATCATATCTATTAGTCACCCTGTGTTGCTCATTGTTTGAATCTTATTTTCAAGGACATTGCAAGCATGCCCCATGTAGCTGACCTTGCGACAAAGGCATCAAAAATTATTGTTTTTGTGTACAATCATGTGGCTTTTCTTTCATGGCTTAGGAGAAGAGATGGTTAGACAGAAATTGTGCACCCAGGAGCGACCAGGTTTGCTACTACCTTCATTAAATTGAAGAGTTTGCATGAGCACAAGCATGACTTGTAAGCCTTGGTCTTAGATAAACACTTCCATGATAATAAACTATTAAGGACTAAAGTTGGGCAACTAGTTGGTGACATTGTGTTGCACAAGAAGTTTTGCGATGATTGCTGTAACATCTTGATTTTTATATAATAAAGAAATTATGGAATTTAGGTTTTGAGGAAAAAAATGATAATAATAGGAATTTATATTATTTGAGGTTATTTAGAAATAATATTATGGTTAGATATTTAATTATAAATTTAAAAATTTAAATTTAAAATCACATAATCAATATTTAGTTAAGATATAATACATAAATAATTTTTTTATGTGTGTGTTAAAAAAAAGAGAAGGTAAAAGGAACAAAAAAAAAGGGTGAAAAGTTATTGTTTCTAAGTCCCACATTGGTTAGATGAGGGAAGAGAAGAGGTGCCTTCATGTATAAAAAGGAGGGGGTGTGTGCATTAGGAAGCATGAGAGGCTAAGATGCAATTTAGAGAAAATTACAACGTATGGCCCAAAGGTTTGAATAATTAAATTCAAACCTATAGTTTTTTTAATATAATTTTAGGACTCACAATCTCATTTTTATATTATTTTTCTCTCTTCCTCTCACGTTGCTCGGCGTTTTCTCGCAAGGAGGGATTATTTTTTTTTTCTTCAGGTATGTTTTAACTTTCCTATTTAGATTAGCATTTAAAAATTTATTTAATTAAAAAATTAATTTTATAGTTATTTTCTAAATAATATTAGCTTTCTAGTGATATGATTATTTTGTAGGATAGAGTAAATATTCTGATTAGAATTTTTCTATAGGATAGTTAATCTGATGATATGATATATTAAAAATGTAGGTTAAAACTCTTAGAGATATAATAAATATTATAGAATATTTTTTGAGATTGAAACTCATGTTTAAGAATTTTTGAGTTAAAATCTAGATCTATATGGTTGAATTTATGTGAAATTTGAGATGTAGGGATGAACCTTTGATTATTAAATATTTATTTAAGTATGAATAGGTATTTTTGAGGTTATAGAAAGGTGATTTGAGGCTTCAGGATAATTTTAAAATTTTTAATTTATTTTTGGACGAATTTTTAGAATATAGAAGGATGAAATTGTGATACTAGAAGTAATTTGAGGCTTAAAAATAGTTTATTAGGGTACGAGAATTTTAGAAAAGAATTTGAAAAGTTAAATAAGGCATAAATCTTAAATTAGTGTTAATATGGATTATAGATCTAAGACTTTCTAACTCTTTAAATTAGAGTTATGTATTTTAATGTAAATTAATATATAGTATTATAAAATAACTATGTAGATTGTGTTGACAAAGATAGTGGTGAAAGAGGAGTTGTGAAGGGGAACTTGTTATTTAAGACACAAGGTAACCATTATTAATGTGTTGTGATGGGTGTGTTTGTGAATAGTTATGTATTGTTTTATTGTTTGGAAAAATTATAAATTAATGAAAATAAATACTGTATATATATACTTGTTTGAAATTATTGCCAAGTGGGTCAAAAATTTATTTTTGTTTATCATGATGAGATATTATTGTTCGGATATATTCCTGTTTGGATATTTGAATGATGCATGACTTGTCAGGGTATTTTAATATATGATGTTAATGAAAATTTTTGTTTGGTTAATTATTACTACGTGGTAAGCCCTCATTGGACCCAATGAGTGGCGTGTCGCTTGGTCCAACTCACCTTTGGCCGGGTGATTTGGCGTCTGAGTATGGCGAAAGGAGGATATAAGGTGCAGTCATGCAAATTAAATACTTGTTCGGTTAAATGTTTTGTGTGCCAACTTAGCAATCGCATGATTAGTTACATCCGCATGCATCATTACATATTAATTTTTGGTTACTGGGACTTTTAAGTCTCATTCCCCGTGGTTAATATTTTTACAGGAGAGAGTTCGGCCGAGAAAGCACCAGAGACGTAACTTTGGTGTATGAGACACCATCTTTTACGTTGCCTCTCATTTTGTATTATGTAATGTATCTTGTACCAACCTAGGACATTTCTTATTTTGACAACATGTAAACTCTAATCCTTTTTATTAAATGCAATTATATGACCAAGAGGACTATGTTTGTCCCTTTTGATTCATGACCTGATTTAAATATCATGCCATGAGGATCCTGTCTGTCCCTCATGGTTTTAATTGCTTTTTTTGAGATATTTTAAGACCTGTGGTATATTGTCTTGGATGTATCATGGTAGAAATTTTTCTACCATGATAAGGGTATGATAAGGGTTTAATGAAAAAAAATAATTTGTTGAATTAATAATTTACGAAAAATCAGTTTGTAAATTTGAGGGTGTTACAATTGCCATCAAATTGTATATCTTGTGGGTCCTCTTATCAAGCTACTAAGAATTGTAGATGCTGATAAAAAACTATCTTTGGGTTATGTTTATGAGGGTATGCAGAGAGCAAAAAATTCAATCAAAAATTTCTTTCGTAGAAAGAAGGAACAATACAAGCCTTACGCAAACATAATTCAAGCTCGGTGGGATAAGCATTTGAAGTATAATTTGCATACAGCAATCTACTTTTTAAATCCTGCATTCTTGTATGATTAAGGATTTATTGAGAAAAGTAGAGTGACAGAATCAATGTTGGACTATTTTTCAATATACAAGTCTATCTATAAATATTCTGACATGATTTCTGAGATGCAAATGTACCGCAAGCACCAAGGCTCTTTTAGCCGAGAAGAAGCTTATAAAATAGCAAATGAAATTCAACCTGGTTAGCTTCTTCCTCTTTTTTTCTTTTATTATAATTTTAAATATTAACTACTATTAATTTATTTGAATTTGATGTAGATGTCTGGTGGCAATGTTTTAGGGGTAGTGCTCCAATATTACAAAAGTTTGCAATTCGTATTTTGGGACAAACTTCTTCTTCTTCAGGATGTGAAAGAAATTGGAGCCTATTTGAAAAAATTCATACCAAAAAAAGAAATAGGCTAGAACATGAAAGATTGAATGATCTTGTGTTTGTTAACTACAACTTGCATTTGCTAAACAGGTGATCATTAATCATTACTCAAATTTGAAATAACTCTCTTTGGCTTCAATAATTGAATGATTAGGGATTTGATTGTGATTATATATATAGATAAGGTCAAAATTGAAGAAGGTGAGCTATGATCTTGTTGATTATGAATCAATTGATAAGCTTGAGTATTGGATAGTTGAAGAAGTTACAACTCCAAATCCTGATTTCACTATTGAGGAAATTCAAAATGAAGATTTTCTTGGTGGAAATGCATGTCCCTCTGGATTCGGTCCTGAATTAAGGGAAAATAAAGGTTGCTCCTCTTCTTTTTACATTAAGGCTTTGTTTGATTTATATTTTATTCATTTATTATTTATATATTAATGCTAACTATTTTTTTGCCAAATATATGTTTAGGTGTTGTTGAAGATGTCAATGTTCTACAATCTCCTATTTTGGATTCATTAAATGCTATAAGAGTTGAAGGAGATGTTTGTGATCTCCAACATGATTTTAGAGAGTTTAATTTAAAAGATTTATATGACAATTGAATGTTGTAGTTTTTTAGTTGAATTTGGACCATTAGATTGTATGAGAATTTAGACTATGGTGTTGCGTTGTGCATGGCTATGAATGACTTTGGAGTATGCCTTTGAACTTTGAAGTATGATGAAATTATCACTTTATTAGTAGTTAGTTATCTTTAGTTTATCATATTTTCTATAATTTTTAATGTATAATATTTAAAATATATAAATTTAATTACAAATGGTCCAATTCCAGTCCAACCTTTGAACCGTGAACCAGTGTCTTGATCGGTTCAATGTCCGGTCCGATTTTAATAACATTGGTTTTGATTTATATTGGAGTAGTTATGCATGCTTCATTAATATTTTACCTGCACCTTAGTTATTTTTATTATAAAATATATCAATTTATGTTTGGTTAACTATTTATCACGCTTCCGATGCCTTTTCTTTTTTTTCTTTTTTTTTTTTAAATACACCTGCTATATTTGAGTTAATTTCACTCTAGTATTTATTCCTTTTATTGGCAATACTCACAGGTAAACTTGCACACAATTTTGCTTACGCCAAGTTACCAACAAAACTTGATACATTAAAAGGTAACGATAAATTCATTAAAATTTGAAATTATTACTTTATTAGTAGTTAGTTATCTTTAGTTTATCATATTTTCTATAATTTTTAATGTATAATATTTAAAATATATAAATTTAATTACAAATGGTCCAACTCCGGTCCAACCTTTGAACCGTGAACCAGTGTCTTGATCGGTTCAATATCCAGTCCGATTTTAATAACATTAGTTTTGATTTATATTGGAGTAGTTATGCATGCTTCATTAATATTTTACCTGCACCTTAGTTATTTTTATTATAAAATATATCAATTTATGTTTGGTTAACTATTTATCACGCTTCCGATGCCTTTTCTTTTTTTTTTTCTCTTTTTTTAAATACACCTGCTATATTTGAGTTAATTTCACTCTAGTATTTATTCCTTTTATTGGCAATACTCACAGGTAAACTTGCACACAATTTTGCTTACGCCAAGTTACCAACAAAACTTGATACATTAAAAGTTAACGATAAATTCAAATTAAAATTTGAGAAATTTATAACGTCTTAATTACATATTTTAAAATTCAACAAACTAGATTGAAAATCAAATAAATTTCAATGAATAGTTAAAATAGAAATTTAAAAATAACTTGATTACAAGACAAGACATGTCTTCCGTGCAACCCCAACCCATTCAAAGTAGTTCCCCCAAGGGGCTAATAACTTGATTACAGTCCGTAATACAATATTCTTTTTGTTGGCAATATTGTTTGATATCGATATTAATCTGACCGGGTAATTTACCTTGTCAAACCAGAGTCAAAACTATATAATCAAACTAGATCAGATCGATTATAAACAGAACATGAAAACATTTCATGGATCACAAATAAAACATTTCATTGAACCAGTGAAAATGGGAAGTAACAAAATCACAAAGGGGTCAATATAATCCAAACTAGTTTTGAATTTCAACGTTTGAGAAGTGAGAAAACGGAAAAGTTCTTGGCCAAGAGGCACCCAATTATCATATTTCCATCTACTGATGCCGGAGGACGATGAACGAACAATAACAGCTAAAAGCTAGAAGGCATTGAATTGAATATTGTCAAGTGACCTAAATGAAAACAAGGTTTTTGAAAATTATGAATGGCGGAAAGAACTGAACTAAAAAAGCTACTCAGAATTAGAATTAGCATTAACATTTCTTTGCATTACAAATTGGATCCCTTCATGGAGACACTTCCATTACATCTGCACTTAAGCACATTCCAGAGTCTGAACCCCACCTAGTTCAACTACATTATTGGCCTTTTGATCCAGGGACCCGAGTCATGAAACTTCAAACATCTGCAAAATCATAAATAAACCGTAACCCAGAAATGGAATTTTTCAGAGAAATGAAACAACAAAAAGTCCTCTTAATTACCTTGGCGGGTTCTGAAATTGAAGCTTGGAAAATGGTCGTGATCATCAGAGGAGGTGGGAATGGATATTGAAAGCTGGGTTGTGGACGATTTATCGTCACAATCAAGCCACGAGTTTTTGCTTTTGTTGGGCGATTCGTCGAAGAAGCGATGAACGGTCTTCTGATTCTGAGGCTCTTCTGATTTCCTCAGTCCCAGCATGTAGTAATCTTGATCTTGCTGGTTCGTACATTCACCAAGGTTCTGATTCTGAAGCTGCAAGTAAGAAGAGTACTCGGTGGACAAACCAGAGTAGCTCCTCTGCTTCGAGGAAGAAGACGATGAGCTCATTGAGAGTGGCGCGAGATGCCATGAAGAATCTTCCATTGATGAAGCAGAGAAGCTTCTCATGGTCCCAGAAGGCTCTTTGAAGAAAGCATGCTCGTCTACCTCTTCTTTCAGTCCATCATAAACATAACCACTATTCCTACTTCACCAAATCACAAGGAAAAAGGACAAAAAAAAATCACCAACAAAACCTGAAGAGATAAAGAAAAGAATGACGAACTAGGGATCAAAGTCATCAAACGAAAAGCAAAAGAAAAATCACTGACAAGTGAGAGGCACAATCATCTTGTAAAGAGAAGCCAAAAGCCGATGATGAAGACGACCTTGAAGGATGCTGATGATTATAGAGGAAGGAATGATTGTGGGTGGCATCAGAGAGAGGTGTGAGAGATGAGGAATGAGTGGTGAGGGAGAGTGAAGGAGGAGGAATGTTGCTTTTCGTGACTGTTGAGGAATTTGTATGGTTAGTTGGTGAGGTTAACGTTGTTCTAAAGCCTTGTTGCTGTTGCTGCAGAGGTTTTCTCAAACGGTTATTTCCTCTGTGCATGTGTCTCTCACAGTACTTGGAATTTGGGTAAGCTTCTTTGGAACATCTCCATTTCTTCCCATCTGTTCTCCTGCACCTTCCTGGTTCCGTGTCTATCTTTCTTCCCAAACCCATCTCCAAATAGTTCCACCCAACTGTTATAATTTATTATTGAATTAACAACCTCAAGCACGAAACTGATATGCACAAATTCATTCACAGAGAGCGAGAGAGAGAGAGAGGAGAAGCTTACAGTGTTGAGGTGGGAGGGACAAGAGCCTTGAAGAAAGAGGAGAGTTAAGAGAGGCCCTTTTGATGGAGAAGACAAGATCAGGAGGAATGGGAATGCCTGAAGCCATGTACTTGAAAATAAGGGCTTGATGTTCGAGCTCTTGCCACTGTGATGGAGTAAAAGGGAACCTGTTCTTTCCGCCGTTCATCATCAACCAGAGTGAGAGTGAGGAAGACGAAAACAAAACTGAGAAACAGAAAAAGGGAACGGAATCAAAAGAGCGCACACAGCAAGATAGATGATAGGAAGCAACAAAAGAAACAGATCTCGTTTAAATTGACGCACTTGACAGTGCTGTGAAAGAAAGAGTCAGTTTCAGTGAGTAATATCGGCAGAGCCCGTGGGGATTCTTCTTACTTGACATTCACATTAGAAAAAGAACATAAAGGATAAAAAAAAACATATATTGTACATAAAAATGAATACCACATTGTGTCTGATGGAGTTGGAAACAAGGATTGGGTTTGAAGGTCCTGTTTTAATAAGAATTTGAACTTTAAGAATAATTTTTTTTTAAAATAATCGGTTTTGAAGGTTTGGTCTTGATAAGCCGTGTAAAAAAGGACTCAGGCTCGGGTAGCTCTTCAAGCCCTATTATATTATTATTATTATTATTATTTTTTGGTAGAACACGTATTTGAAATCAATGATCTGCTCACCTGATTCTACACACATTATATTATTATTAATTTTAATTTATTTTAAAATTAATTTAATATAATTTAATAAATATTAATGTATAGTATAAAATTCTTGATATTTTTTATTTTTCTATAATTATTATATTTGTGTATTTATAAAAATAAATTATTTTTTAATTAAGATTTAAATTTTATCACTAAACTTCTAAAATGTGTGTTGTTTAATTTTAAAAAAATTATGAGAATTTTATTTTTTTAAATATCAAAATATTTTAATTAATTTATAATGTTTAATTTTATTTTTATTTTTTTATTTTTTGAAAAAGGGCTTGCGGGCTTGGTTATGAACTCTTCACATAAAGGTCAGGCTTGATAAATGAAATTTAAAATAAAAAATTGGACTATAAGGTTCAAGCTTTTAAGGATTGAACTCATAAGTGCCAGGCTCTTAAGGGTTAAGTCCGTCTGTATTCTCAACTTTAATATCTGATATATGTACAGTGTATAATATATACACACCCATATACGCATCAGTATGAATGTAACATGGACAAATAAGCCATGGAGGAGGAGTAGAGTAGGTATATTTATTTCAGGGACCATTGAGTTACAGAATCTTCTGTACATGAATAAAACTAATGGTTGTGAATTCAGAGGTGCATGCCATGCTTTCTCTTTCTCTGATCTTATTATGACTGCACCTCTCTGATGATACTGCTTCTGCAGGTGCAGCAGCAGAGGCAGCAGGTAAGCTGCGTCAGTGTCAGGCTCTTGTCTCTGATATCTCTACGGAAATCCTTAAACTAATTAAAGTGAGAGTGGGGGAAAAGAGAAAGAAGAAAGAAAGCCAGGGCCATAAAAAACAGAAGAGGGAAATAGGTTTTATTGGTATCGTAGTTTGGACATGTGAGAGAATGAGAGAGAGTATAGTATTATTGAATTAAAGAACTGGTCTCTCCCAGAAGGTAATGCCTGTCTGAGAAGATTGTACGGTCTGAGCTTTTACTGCTACTAACTCTTTTTCTTTTTTCTGTTCCTTTACCTCAGAGTGTCTCAGACCCCTCACTCACCATCTCCTTCACCTCTTTTCATTTCGAAAACGTCCACATTGAGAGCTGCACTTGCCTCACTCTCACTTTTGGCCTCTTCTACATATATTATTCGTATTAATCAATCAGCTTCTTTCAAGTTTCATTCCTGTTGGACTCTCCTTTTTATTAAGCCTAGGTATGTAGATTAAGAGATTAGTTTTTAATGATTAAAACGAGTTGCAAAGCACGTGTTCAGCAATCAGGGTCACGTAAGGAAGTGTGGTCTGGCAGAGCACAACAACAAATATAAACAAAGGACAATAGACTCGTAGGCTTTACTTATACTTTATTAGGTTCTGAGTGTCATCAATTTCCCAAAATACTATAATACATTGCTCACAGTCAAACATGTTACTGCTTGTACTGTCAACTCTGCAAGGCTTTGTTATGAGTACAGAGAGAAAGAATGAAAGGTGGTGATTAGTTGAGATAGAGTAAAAGCAAAAGAACAAAGTTGAGGGAAGGGAAAGAGGTGAGGAAGGTGATTGGTGGACGGATGGAGGGGTTAAGATTGAAGAATGAATGGTGAAGGGCAGATAGATGCCAAGGTGATGGATGAGTCAAGAGAATGAGAGAGAGACGAAAAAAATGACAGTTAGACCTTGAAATATAACCCATCTTAAAATATAAAATATTTTAATAAAAATAAAATTTTATTAATAATATTTTTTAATATCGTCCTTTTAATATATTCTCTTTTTTTAACATTCTTTTATTGATGGAGTATTAAATAAAAAATATTTTTAAAAATTTATTTTTTTTATTTTAAAAAAATAAGGTTGTAAAGTGCATTTAATGAACTTTATTAATATATAAAATTTTATCTAAAAATATCTTATAATTTAAGACAAAAAGAGTAAATTAATATTAATTAAGTTTTGAAAAATAAATTAAAAATACCTATCTAAATTATTATAAATTTAAGAATTTCAATTACAAGCAAGTGTTTAAATATCAAATATAATTTTTTAAATTATAATAATTTTTTATTTGTAATTATTTAAATTAATATTTATAATTTATTTTGTAAAAAAATTTATAAAAAATTTAAGTATCATTAATTTATTTTTTTGAACTTAACAATCATTTTTTCAGAGAAAATGGGGGAATTGCAAAAGTTTTTATTTTTTTTTTAACCAACGGGCATGGCAGAAGTTTGATTGAATTAAATTTTGTGGCAACCATTCTTGTAAGGAAAAACATGGCAGGACAGTACTGTACTGTTATGCATTCTTTGGCACTCTTATCCCCTGCCACTCTGGCAGGTCCATTTGTCCATCATTTTTTCGCCCTCCTAAAAATGTATACTTCTTCTATCTTTTTTAAATGTGTACTCCTATTTTTTTTATAACTCATTTTTATTAACTTTATTAATATAAAAAAACATAATAAATAAAAATATATAGCATTTCAAATATATTTTATATAAGAAATTTAAAACATGATGTCATATTATTTTTTTCTTTTTTTATAAAGAGTAATTTTAAAAATATTGTTTAAATATTATTTAAAAAGTCACGCTATGACTCATAAATAAAACTAAATAAATATTTTAAAATGTGATTTATAAATAAAAACAAAGGAAGTACAAGACAAGCTTAACGTTATTGATTTATTTCAACAGATTACGAGCTTATTATTTTCAAAATACAAGGGAAAGTTTTCCAACTCATAGTTTTCTACATGTTTTAAATTCAAATTCATTTCAAACTAGCCCACTAGGGCATCATTTGGATGTTGATGCTGTCTGCATGGATATCTTACCTACTAAGCCTAGGAGTACACTTTCTCTAAAGATGTTTGCCATGGATTACAAATCACTGCCATAGAAAACCCTAATATTTGACAGTTATTTTAACCAATAATTAACAATTAAAATAATTAAATATTAGGAACATTACTTAATGGTTATTTCATAATAACCATCAAATATAGTCTTCTAGGTTTAGCATTTGGCTATTTCCAGAAGACTATACTTGACAATTATTTCTAAATAATTGTCAATTAATGTGAAATAATTGATAGTTATTTTATAATAGTCATCAAATATTTATAGTAAAAAACTTGTCCATGCTTGCAAAAATTTGCCAAAAATACTTGATGATTATTATGAAATAACCGTCAAATATTTGTTTACTTCATAGTTATTTTAAAATAATTGTCAAGTATTTATAATATTTTTTTAAAGGTGAGGGTTGATCCTCCCTACAAATACAAAGAAATCAACTACATATACCAACTAGCTAGCAATTAGAAATAGAGCAATCATTATTTACATTAAAATTATTATCTAAATACATTAAAATTTCTATATCATTTCTATACCGTAAAACTAAAACCATAACAAAATTATAATTTTAGTTAATATGCAAACTAAAATTTCAAAACTAAGTGGCCTAAGACATAAAAATTGAAAAAAAAAATTGGATGTGTATACCAAAATTAATTATTGGGCTTGACTATTGCTGTTATCCACATGTTGAACATAACTTGAGCTGCTTCTTGAATTACCTCTATTAAATGTATAATTGCACACCAAATGCAATAGACACCCTCGAAGTACTATATGCAAAGAGTAACAACAAATTCAAATTAGTAGCTATTTAACTAAAGTTAGTTAAAATTTATAATTTAAGTATAATCAAATTTAATATATACCTTGTTAGGTAATGTAGTAGGGGTATGGATGATGATATCTTTCAAGAATCTCATTAGTGGACATTGGAAAAGAAATCACATATCAACAAAATGGTATAACAACTCCACAGCTCTAAAAAGGAAGTGATAACTATCATTTTCATATTATTTTTCCTAGACTTTAACACTTCATAGGTATTTTGTGCATGTTAGAAGATTTAAGATCATCTAGGCTACTTTCATAATTTCCAAAAATTTTGGGGCAAAAGTGTAAATTTATAAAGTTTATGGGTAAAATTGTAATTTTTAAAAATAATTTATGAACAATAGAAAAATTTATCATTTTCTAATTTTTATTTCTTCATTAATCCTATGAGTTTAATTTGAGTTACAACTTATTTTTAATTTATTCAATAAAATATTCTTTAAGTACACACTTTTTGTACTTTAATTGTATTTTTCATGAACTTTGAAAATGTATTAGGTTTAGTTTCTGTAATCAAGAATTCCTAGAAAACTTCTCATAACCAAATTCATTTCCTAATGGTTTTTTTCAAGCACATTGGATATTAACCCAACACAACAGCTAAGCTCATAGGAATTTACAAAGGCCTTATTCTTTGCTGGAATAAAAGATTACCTAAAGTTAATCTTCCAACCACCCATAATAAATGAGATTTTTAGATATTAATGGTGCCCATAGCTCAAGACACTAAAACTCATTATACTTAGGTTTAGATACTCTAATCTACTCGATTAACTCTATTTGAGTTAATAAATTTGAACTCATAACCTATATGGATCGAAATTCCACTTCCACTATCAAACCCTAACTATAAACTCATAAGTGAAAGAAATGAGAAAATTAATGAGTGTGATACTTACCTTAGGTGTTTGTAGCGTTCAAAATACTCCTAATATTGTCCACAAGTAAACCCTAGCAGAGCTTAACATACCTCTCCGTTTTCTCTTTTCTTTCTCTTTATTTCTGTCTCATTTCACGTCTGAT